ACATTGGAAACCTTTCGAATACCACGGGTAACCATAAAAACTTGATAGAACAAGAAGGAAAATAGAAAATAATTTTCAAGTTATCTGTTCTTATTTTCTATTTTCGATTCTTACAAATAAATTTACATACACACAGGAGCAAGAAAGATTCTATATATTTTATACTTTAAAATCATATATTATTTCTTTCAATTTTATGTATAGAGGCAATCTTTTTATACTCGAAAGTTTAATTTTTATTTTGTGGAATTTTCCATCTATAAATTTTGTATAACTAAACACTAAAGGTGAAATAAAGATGTCAAATTCAATACTAAGACTTCTACTAATTTAAAAAATACTAAAGGACTTGATTTAAACGATAAATATAACATAAAAATCGGTAAATAGAGCGCTTTTCTTCGTATATCTGTACGTTTAATTTACAAATATAGAAAAAAATAAAAAGTAAACTTGTTCAACAGATACTTTATCATATCTTTCAATGTTCAAATTCTCACATAGACAATATTTCGTAAACAATGACATACAATTTAACATTCGGATAAACATGTTAAATTTCTTAAATTTGTTTTGTGCGGAGTCCAAATTTAATTAGATTTCCACAAAGCGACTCAAATCTAGTTGAAAGTCGAAAAATACAAGGTCAAATGACCTTGAAAATAAAAGAAACACTATTCTCAGCAGGAGTCCAGAGGAAGAACTTGGAAGTCTATATATATACGGAACGAATTTTCTCTTAAAATTCACTCAAATATGATAGTTGTGGTACAATACAATATTGTATTTAAAACATTTTTATCATACACCACACACACACTTCGATAAAATTAATTAAACTTATAATTTTATTGTAGTTATGCTGATAAACGAAAGATTTACATAAAATTTTTCAAAATACAATATTGTCCCATGATTAGTATATTATATTTTTAGGATAAATTCTAAGAAAAAATTCTTTCCAAATTCCGCCATAGTGGTAACATTACACACACCTTATAAATACCCATATACAAAGAAAAGCACACGGCTGTCCATGTGAAAGGGTAACGCACGCACGCTATACGAGAACACAGTCATCGAGATTCACATCACCAACATCTGGCTGTGGCTTCTTGCAGAGAAGTCTGTGAACAAAGACTTTTCCTTTTTCTTCAAGGTCTTTGAGTTGGACGGTCAACCGTCGGCCGCAAGTTCCATCAAATATAAATAATAAACACGAGAAATGCAATCTAAATAAAAACATTGTTGAATTGATGGATTCGTTATGCATTTTATTTTATTTTATATATCCCCAAGGTGTTTCAGATCTAACGCACTAGCTACTAATGGCAGATTCCTAAAATAACATCAAGAATCTGCCATTCTACTGTACATGCACTGTATATGTGCATTTTTAATCTGTCATTAAATTACTCTTTCTTAAGCTCACAAAATCAAGTCAAATTAATAAAATATTTTTCTCGCCACAATAAAGCGTATGATGTTGCTGTTGAGAAACATTCATGAGAAAATATAAAATATCGATGAATGTAGGAATAAGAGGTGTATAGAGAAGGGCCTGAAGTTGGCAGAATCAAGTCGAAGGGCTGAATAGATCGAGCCCTTCCAGTCGAGACCAACCGGAGTGGTTGGTCTTCGGCAACAGTGACTGCACATAACGACCCTAGCGGTACCGTTTCTATGGTACCGTTCGTGGGGATTAACGTCCCTCTTGCGTCGCAGCTCTACTTTCATCTGGCGGCTGCGGCGGCGGCGGCGACGGGTGCTGTTGCTGCTGCTGCTGCCGTCGTCGCCGCCGCTGCTGCGGGGTAAGACCAGCCTTGGCCTGGGACCATGGAAACTGGATAACCTTCTCATAAAACACGCGCGCGCATACACATATATTGGTCGATCGCGTATTATAATTATCTCAAGTCTCGACTACGTATGGTACTCCGAGAGGCACTCGGAAAAACGCTCGTCGATCCATCGATCAAAAAATAAATCGCGTATAGTGACTCTTCTAGAAATTACCTTAAATAACAGTTACCCATATAGCTAATAAAACAATATCAATATAAACATTTTATGGAACGTTTGATATGATAAGACAGAGAAGCGGAAAAATAAGCATATTTAAAGAACCAGTTTTTGTATCAGAAGAATACATTTTATTTATAGAAATACGCTTTAGATAAAATGTTTCTTTCTAAGTAACTTTATGAATTTTTCGAAATTCCAATCAGTGAATCATTGCGAAGTGGTAAAGCAAAATGTTTACAATAAAACGATAAAAAGCAACAGTAAAATTTTATCGATAGAAACGATATGTACATATCTAGATGCCGAAGAAAAATTACTTTATCTAATTTCAAATATATATTTAACAGTCAATATAGATAATAATTCTAATTCTAATAAATAAATAAATATTTGTACGTTTATAAATAAAACTGTCTAGTTAATAGACACCAATAATGAAAACTGACTAAATCAAACAATAAAAAAAAAATTACTATTGAAAGTAACGCATGATGCTGTTCTGAATTGTGGTCTTCTATAATAAGAAAATGACTTTGCTATATTAAATTGCAAGACAGCTCTTCGGACAGCCCAATGTCAATTGGCATAATCATGAACAAAGCATGTAATACAATCATAAAATAATCGTAAGTTTTATTGTCTTAGCAGATTCGAATTGTTTTGTAAAACTGAAATAAAAAAACCGAATTCTTCGCATAAATCAAGAAATTTGACGTATCCATCAGAATGTTAAACTATGCACCATTGGTTACGAAATATTGCTTGCGAGAAGGTTTGAACATTGAAAGACATGATAAAGTATTTCTTGAACGAAGGGGATTTCACTTTTCTAAAATAATGCATAAGTGTACTAAGAAAAAAGAACAAAGTTTACAGATGGAAATTCTGTTGAGTTTTTCTCGGAATTACACAAGTAAACTAGAAAATACCTGTACGAAAAAGAAACAATATACCTATGACATTTTAGAGCATAAAGTAGATTGTTTCTTTTATAAAAATGCTTTCTTTGTAATGCATTAAATTTATATCTTTAAGAACCAATAATAGATATTAATAAAAATCTAAAATTATTTTCAGTTTTAGTTCTTGTTCATTCTATCAAGTTTTCGGTATGTTAGAAATGTTTAATTTCTAGTTATTATTGTAGAATGTAGATACATTTATGTAATAACAAAAGTATATATTTATAAAGGAGATCAGATAAATTTAATCCAGGAAATTGTTTATTGCTTGAGCTTTTAACTGGCTAAGGCGCGATGCAATATATTTTTTGTCAATGTATCGATGTGTAAACGCAAAGATTGAGGTAACGTCTTGATAGCGATAATATCTTCATAGATGCAGTACTGCACAATTGCAAGGTTACGCCTGGCGTCATCAACAGCATATTGTCGCTGTTTAACCTTCGTGTCATCGAAGCATTGATACCGTGACTACGGTAACTGACAAAATTACTTATTTTCTCGTCTGTTCGAATGATATCTTCTGCATGCACCAAATACAATACATATTCTTTTCAGAAAAATAACATTTTACGATTTCTCAGAAATAGATGTTCTCCAATGGACAACTCGACGGTACCAACAAAAAATATTATCATTACAGTAGAATTATCATTTTTTTGTTTTTTTTTTTAAGAATTGTTGTAATTTTTTCCTTAAACGTTTATTAATTATAACAGCTAAAATAGTAGGAAAAAATACAATACAAAATAGATGATATCTTTTTGAAGTATATTACTATTAAAATAGTAAAAAAACAATATAATCGTAACTAAAAATGCAATCATAATACTTTTGTTGGTATTGTGAAAAATTTCTTGGTAAGAGATTTTTTTCAACGACATTCGTTCATCACATTTAAATGCAGATAATATTATAGAAAGTCTTTCTTCAAGGAATAGACGAGTGAATTCCAAATTTTAATATAATTTCTGATGTATCATAATTTAATTTTTTAAATTATATAATTACAGTTTTAAATTTAAAATACATAGAAAATAAGATAGAAAAATACTTCCATAAAAAGATAAGAGGCATAATTTGATTTTAAGTACGTTTGTACTCTTTCAAATAATCTTGAAAGGGAAATTAATGAATCTTATTCATCACGAAAACTGTATATAGTTGAACTAATCAATTTCCTTTTAACATGGTTTAGCTGATAAATAGAAGACAAGCGTGTAAAAAAAAGGGTGAGATATTTGTGACAGAAATACGGAAAGTAAGGTATACCACGCGACCACGCACACTATCTTGTAGATAAACGGAGGTTGAAGAAGGAGAGGACGCGTTGCAGAAATAGTCATCCTGTTATCGACACCACCGTTTGCTTATCGTTCCACGGTCAATATTTCGCTCCCTCCGGCTTCTTTTTTTTTTCTACAGCCTCTTCACCTCGCCTCTCTTTCTCTACTCCGATTCTCGACGTAGTTAGCGTGCGTTTGCGCGTCCGTTAGTACGTTCGCCACTTATCCCGGTTTTATCGGCTGATAACGCCAATATCTCGGCATCATCAAACAGTGATTACAAGGGAAAGGAGTATTATTCGTTATATTGCAAAAATATCTTATGATGTGCAAAATTTATTATTAGCGTGTACCCGATGGTGTCAAAATTCCGCGAAACTCTCATGATATTTCGAAAAGAAGAAATCTACATCAAGATATAAATTTAAAAATTGTAATTGAATCTTTCTAAATTTTTCAGAGTTCTATCATGCAGACAATATTAAGGATATGATAACTCTTTATAAAGTATTGCGATTTTATTGAAAAATGTGCTTTTCTTACGAGAGAGATAAAAACGATTATTTAACTTTTATTTAGCTTGAGAGATAAAGACGTTTGGAAGTAGAATAATTAAAATGATAAGTTTTAGTATATAGAGAAATATTTCATTACCTTCTACTCTCTCATTCTCGATTTTAATTAACGCGGTTAGTAATCAGTAATTAATTAAACATACGGTACTCACCATTTAATACTCTTCTTTATAATATTGCTAACAATCTTCAATGATTTTTTGGGCGATATGAAAGGTGGGGTGATGCTAGTCATCTTTCGTTTCTCTGCTTCGTTCGTCGTGATTTTTTCATATATGTTGAATTTACTTTCTTCGACAATGTTATCTTCTTTATTAACGTTTGCCACCGAATTTTTTACCCATTCTACTATGTGATCCGCGCGATCAGTCGATAACGCAGAATCGCTAGCAAGCTGTTGCTCAATAAGCTCGCCAAACGCAGTCGGAGAATGAACAATTCCAATATCTGATTTCTCTTCCGTTTTATCCAAGGACCCTCTTGAGTCATTTTTGTCCTCTGCAGCCAGGGAAGTACATTCCTTCACACTATCAGTTATATCATCTTTCGAAACGTCATCCTCCTTCCTTACCGTTGGTTGATCTTTTTCTTTATTCTCTTCGTCATTGTCTTCTTCAGTTGTTTCATTAGCGCATCGGAGTATCTCCATCGCTAAATCTCCATGAACAACTTTTATAATTTCATTTAGACTACTCTGTAGAGTGGTAGCGTAAAGCGTGTCGTCAACTTTTGCTCCTGCAGAACTAGATTCATCAATACTGCTCTCTTTGGTTTCAGATTGGTTAGTCTCGGAAGGTTTATTAGTCTCAGATTTAGTTTCGGATTCGATTTTTTCGGGATTAGTTTCTTCCATCAAATCCCCATTACAATCGGTTTTAGAAGTATGTGGTTGCTGTTCGGAACTGCATAAATCTGTATCTTCGATTTTCTCCTTTTCAATATCAATGTCTAAAGCTTCTGTAGGAGTAGATCGTTCATCGACGATCATTTGTTCATGATTTCCCTTGTCAGAGGGAACTATTCCATCGTCTGCTATAGAAATTTCTGACATGTTGTTTTCCATTAATTTATTAGTATTTTCATCTATAATATTTTCCGCCATTGTTATTAAATATTCTCGAAAATCAATTTCTCTCAGAATCTAACATTTTAATTTCAATAATAAATAGTAATCTTTTAGTATTTTAGACGACACATTGTTACCATCTGAGTTTTCTTGGCCATCTTTCTTTCTCTCTCTTTCTCTCTTTCTTTCTCTAATGTCTTCTTATATTCTTCACACTTCCTCTTCAATTTATTCCTAGAATAATAAAAGAAAATTAATATTTTTTAATGTTATTTATAAAATATATAATGTATACTTATAAAATGAAATTAAAATATTTTCGTTTCTAATTATGACATATATTGATGTTATTGATACTATTATAATCAATACATTTTTTTGCTATATTATATATAAAAATACATAGAATATTATTACATAATATTGGTCATTTATCACAACATATTTTATTCTTCGAGGCGATCATTCAGTTTTTATATCAAAATTGCATTAAAAAATTAATATTATTATACAAAATTTTAATGATTCAAAATTATTTTCGGGAAAACGTTTTTTTAAATAATTCTTGTAATAAATAAGTGATCTCATTGTTAGTAACAATTGCGAGGATAATTCTTTGTCGATAAAAAGAATTCCTACATCATCGACGAAACGTTGTAAGGTTAGGAAGCACCGTGTATTATGCAAGATACAATTTACCGCTTAATTTCATGTAAATGCAAATGTTATTCCTCATTTTCGCATGAAGTTAGCCGCATATGCATTCCCTGCGCCTCTTCTCTTCCCCCTAGCCCCGCCTACGTGCAATTGTGAACAATCGCGAATGCAACAATTATCGCGCAACGACATTAAACAACTACGCACGACCTTTAATGAGCATCCATAACATGTGTATAATAGACTATTGTAGAGAATCGTAGCGTGAATTCCATTGAAATCCTCAAATATACACATATATTTTCACGCAAATGATGTCCCAGACAGGTTGTCACCATTTCCGCAGTGAAGGACAATAGTTCTTTTTTGCTCCGTATTTACACAAAAATACATGGGAGTTCCAAGAACTTACGCTTGTAAGGCTGCCGATGAATCCTAAGACACTTTTTGCTAAGGACACCTTTTTGAAGTCAAATCTTAATACGATTTCTTTTCTACCTGAGGTCTACAGAGAGAGGGTCCTAAGAAATAATTAGTCTCCTACAGAGAGCTCGTCCCATCGAGCGACAATGAGACACTGACCTGCCTTGATTCTTCTTTCCAAAATCGCAGTCTCATCAGCGATATCGAGGTCGATCTCGAATTAACGTCGCGACGCGCCACGGTCGTTCGTTAAGCTCGCTCGGGCGAATTTCATCTCACGGACTGGAACTGGAGTAACATATCGCAATCGCAGCCATCGCGGAGCAGCTGCGCGCGCGAACGCCTAACCTCCGAGTCTAACCGGCGTCAATGAGACGAGACGCGCGAAGACGCGAGAGGGGAGGTTGCGGCGAGACAAGATCCTTACGTACCTCGCACTCTATCGCCTCGGAACTGGAGTCGGTTCCTCGCGGGAGCTGCGGAAGGTACTTGTGCGCGACGTATATCAAGCCGTTGACATCCACCGACTGCGTCTGCGTTCGTGGGAAACCGACGATGACGACAGCGCGGATTCGCGTCGGAAATGGCAGGCAGAGAGCACAGCGGAGCGAGCGAACTATCGCCGACCGTTCGCGACGGATCGACGTGGCGCGAGGGAGAGAGAGAGAGAGAGAGAGGGAAAGAAGTGAGAGAGCGAGCGCGATTTCTTCACGAAAAAAAACTACTGGAGAAACGTAAGAGCGCGTAATAAAACACAAACCCGCGTACCGGCGAGGCTGGTGACCTTACTGAACTCTATCCAATCTAGAACCGCGCGCGGCGCTCATTGGCGCTTGCGAAACGTCACCCGAGAGAGACGCGATGTAGCGGTGATCGTTCTTTCTCTTTCGCGCGCGCGGTACAGTCCTTCGAGTAAGCTCAAGTCGTATTTGATGAAATTTCCCCGGGATGCGAACATCGATTAAACCTTGGCGAGGATTGTACGAAGCTTTCAATGCGCATGCTACTCTCTCTCCCTCACTCTCTTTTTTCTGCCTTTCTCCCTCTCTCTCCCTCTCTCTCTCTCTCTCTCCCTCTGCTGATTCTTCTATTTGAAAATGATACGTTCCAGTATGAGTAGGATTCGTTGGGTGACTTATCAACTGCTGCTAACAGATGCGAAATTGATCATGTCACTCGAAATTTACGCAAATTCTACAATAGTTGTAATGAGATATTTTTTATCATTTTGAAAACTTTCAAAAATGGAATTCTCATTTTCGTATTATATTAATTAATATTTATTTTGATATGTATCTTCGAACCGAATGTAAACGTTTATGAACTGAATTTAACAGCACAGTAATGTTTAAAAAATGTATTTAAAACCGTAAAACGTATACATGTTGGACGTTTAGACACATATTAAAAACATCCAGATTAGATCCATGGATATTTAAAAAATGTTTTAAAAACATCCAGTGTTACCATTTTGGACTTCTTAAAAACGTCCATTTTAGGATGCAATTGACTAAAACTGGACTAAATTAATATATTAAACAAATTTTAGACTACAATCCAGACAAATTTGCACACTGAAAGCAAAAGATTCCTCTAACTCTTATTGCGAACAGCATAAGCTATTGTTGCTTGTCGCTTGTTGCGTATTGTCTGAACTAAGCTTTAATTCAATAAATTTTCGCGTTACCGGAGGTAACAAAAGTAAAACTCCTCGTGCGATCTTAAAAAAATTTTCACTTTTGGCAAGTTAGCGAAAACAACACGTCGCAAGCAGACTTAGAAAATTTTTTGCATGAAATAAACATTTTTTAAATGTTCAAATGTAAACATACTTTATACGTTGATTAATGTACGTTTTTAAAACATTCGTACTAAATCCACAGACGTATGGACCAGATTGAAATCAAGTCTGGATGTCCAATGGATATTCTGTGCTGTCTGGGATAGTGACCCGCAGGGATCAAAAGTCAATGAAAAATTTGATAAATATCATATTGAAATTAGATTGAGATTATACGTAAATCAATTATCAATATGATATTTCGAAAATTTCATGATATCTGAAAAATATCATGTAAATGTCGACGATCTATTCGTGTTATTCAACTTGTATCATACTAAAGTCTAATCAACTCATCGAATATGATATTAATGTTTTCAATATATAAGAGAGAGAATTTTATTTATTAATTGATATTTGGGTAAGGATATACAAATTTTACCTTTTTATATATAAGTAAATAAAATTTATATAACACTTAAATTAAAATTTTTATTTACTTAAATGTATTTAGCGCAAATACATATTTTCCTGCAGTGAAAATATATTATCTATTGTGACATTTCCTTAATTGCCTTCAAAAGTATTAGAAAATTGTGCAAAATAACATTCAGTATCGGAACAACTTATCATAATAGCTTTTTGAATAATACTTCGTACAGAGCGAATTTTTAAACTTCCAAACATGTAGAAAGAGCATATAACTTTACATGAGAAACAATATTACTTAGTTCACTGAACTATGGGCTTTGCTATGGAATCAAGAACACAGAGAATTTTAAACAACAATTTTACTATAATATTAATGCGAACTTCAGTTGGAGATGTCCAATTTAATCATTTACTTTACATAAAAAAGAGGAAAGAAATTAAATCATATCTGGATCTTTATCTCCAAACAAAAGTTCACATATCATTATGTTTTTTTAATGTAAAACGCTATTCTGGTGGAAATTCATTCACAGTCTAAACTAGATTAGCCATAATGTATTTTAGCGGAATTCAAAAACAGATCATACATCCGTATCAAAAGTTATGCTCAAGTTATTTCTATTGCTCAAGATTGATCCATTTTTACATTTTCGGTTGTCTCTAATAATGTCCTTATTTATGTTATCCATTGAAAAAGTTATAAAAAAATATCTATTATATATATTCATTTTGGAAATGTCACAATCTGTATTACATATAGAACATTTAATGTTTTGTTTGCATCTCTTATTCTCTTTAGGAATGGAATGTTCTCCTAAATAAGTGTTACAGTTACTACAGTAAAAATAAAAATCTAGCTGTGTAGTTTAGTTTTAAATATACTTCAAAACGAATATTCAGTTTCAACAACTTTTTTCTCTTGGAAAATAGAATTAATGAGTTTCAAAACATCTTGTACAATTACATTTGTAATTTCATATCTCAACGTAAAATGAAGGATTATAATAGCGCATTTCACTGGCAGAGCTAGTGCGCACTCAGTGCACATTAAAGTCGTTATACACTACTCTAATCTGATATTAAAGTAAGATATCTGAGATATCTCAAATAATAAAATGCTTATTGTGTACTTTGTCAAATAACACAATAAAATATATTGAAGATTTTATGGTTTTAATAATTTTTTTATTTTTATATTAAACATATATTTCTATATCGATTTGTGTACAAAGGCATTAAAGTACACTGAGTGCGCACTATAGCTCTGCCAGTGAAACGCGCTATAAGTAAAACTTCAAATTTTGTAGTACTGACTTCACCACATACAGCATATTTAAATTTGAACGGATCTTATGATGAACGCAGTTTCACTCATTTTCATAGTATCTTTTTTGTCAGTAAGTATATGAGCATCACTTTGATCCTGCAAAGAGAAAGATATTGAACTTATTACAACATACAAGACAAATAAATTGAAATATTGTATGTGAAAAATAATATAAAATGCTAATGCGGCTCTGTAATTAGTTTATGGTATCTCAATACTGTAAGACGATCTTGAATATAAGAATCGATTATGAATTCTCTTATTCATTTACCTCGTTCCATATACCAGGTGGTCCACTTAAATCCTACATCTTGAATATTTCGTTTATTTTTGACAATACGAAAAAATGTTTCAAATAAAAATGGAACGGTGTCGAGGGGGACACGTTTTAGTCACATTGTTTTTTTTCTAAGTAGAGGCGCTAAAAAGATTGAAGGTCACCTCCACTTTTTTAAATGGAATTATGTAATTATTTTTAGATAACGTGATTCCTCTAATTATTTTGCATATAAAAGTATTAAGGTAGAGATACCAAAAAACCAATAGTTTTCGAGATATTTTACACTTTATTTTGATATACCTATATTGACACAAAATGTTAAATAACTCGTAAACTGTTGACTTTTTGATTATCGTACCTTAATACTTTTGTGAACAGAATAATGAGATAAATCAAATGGTGTAAAGGAAACACATAGTTGCGTATTTAAAAAATTATCCATTTTGTATACATATTTTTTTTTAAAGCATATTTTTATTTGAAACATTTTTTCGTATTGTCAAAAATAAACGAAATATTCAAGATGTGTAGGATTTAAGTGGACCACCCGGTATTTTCAATTAAGAACATGATTGCAGAATTCAACATCAATATCAAATATAGAATCTGTGTCAATTTCCTAAAAAGAGAAAACAATACCTTGTTAAGATATTTTGGATAACTTTTTTTTGTTAAAATTGTCTCTACATATATTTTAATAGCTAATAATAATTACTGTTTTGTTATAAAAATCTACATATGAAAATTTCTATATATACACATATATTATAAAATTTGTGAAGATTTTTCCAAAATTTTACCTCACTGAGAATCTTCATTATTTTTTTAGAGTCATCACAAATAGAGAGGCGTTTCCTCCAATAAATGTATATTTTCAGAAGTACAATCAACATTTACAAGTTGAGCTCCTATTTGTGGAAATACAGTTGCATTTTGCTCCTATCAATACAAAATAAAATATTAAAATTGTCTATAACTTTATCTGTACTTAAGTATAATTATATATTATAATTATAATATAATACATATTATTATGTACAAGTGCCATGTATAAAGTCTTATTTGTTTATTAAATACTCAATAGGTACTGTATGCAGCTAGATGATCTTTATTAAAATTCATCATATATTTATAAAATCTCTTGAGAGGAAATACAAGTATTGATGTTCAATAAATATATAACTTCTAAATTATTTGTTGTAGAAATATTTCGCTGTGCACATACCTGTTCGGCAATTTCCCGTTGTCGTTTGTTTCTTGAATGTTTCGTTTGTTTTGGCTCTTTTGGATTAAGATCTTTTAATCATTGCTTGTACTCTTTTGGTCTCTTGGGCATTATTTCATTCAAATGTTTATGTCACGATCAGCACCATGAGTGTCATTTGCAAAGTAATTTTGTATTAAGTAAAATTTCGAGAGAGATTATTTCTCGTTTAACTATTTTAAATACATACTTAGCCTAATAATTCATGTGTCGGTATAGACAAATTTTTTAAGCATGTGATTGGCTGCAGGATAGAGATCTGAGAACTTCTCTCTGTTCTGCAACCAATCAACAGGCTTGAACAGCCTCATCGACCGACACATAAGGGTGCAAACCATGGTGGAATTTTTTATTCCACCATGGTGCAAACCCATGCAGCGGAATAGCGTAACGCGAAACGAGAGCAGAACCAATCATGAGTTTCTCTAGAAACACGGAATGCTCGTTATTGATTCTGCTCTCGTTCCGCGTTACGTTATTCCGCTGCATGGGTTTGCACCCTAAAATAGACTAGGCTGTGTTTGGAAACGTTATCCAAATGATATCAAATCTTATTGGACCGTGAGTATTTATACTAATGAATACCGATGAGAACATGCCGTAACGGTTAAGCTGGATCTCGGGTGCTTCTATATAATTACGTGTAATTTATGTAGTATGTTTGTAGATTTTTAATTGTGTGCCGAATTTTTCTCAGACT